GGAAGGAAAGGTTTGACGGTGCCGCTCCTAAGAGCGTGGACCAAGCTTGGTTTAATTAGCAGTGAAAACCTATTAAGGGATCAGTTTCCAAATACTGTGGCTTAGATAAGGTAACGAGGGTATCTCAGGAGTTAGTTTCTTGTTTTTGACATCTTTGCTCCCTCACGAGCCACCCCAAAGCTGCATGGGCACATTCTGTGTGCCTGGCAAGCTCAGCCATGTTTGGCAGCTGAGGGTTCATTCATAATCCTTAAATTCAGACTGAAGCGTGCAGCCTGTATTGGATGGCTGGTCAGCAGCTGAAAGACTCCAAGGTACCGAGGATCACATACTTCCTAGGCTCAACCTGATTCTCCTCTGTTCCTGCAATAATCGCTGCGTTAAGTACTTTCTGTCTGTAAAGCGGTAAGGATATGCTATGCTTGGGTTCCCTGTTGGGTCAGCGTCACATCCTAGGGCTTACGTGCTGGTGTGCGCACCCAGCAAGAGCAGACATCATTCCACCACACTGCCTGAACCACAGTTGTCCCTAATGCAGAGACCCTTCAAGTCTTGTTATGCAGCACTCGAGCTCAGCCTGAGCAGACCTGGATCAAAACAGAGCAGCACGTGCTGAGCTCTTTAGAGGTCTCTATGTTAAACGTGAAGGTGGTGGGCATCCTTAGCTGTGTGACTCTGGCCGTGTGTGGATGAAGAGCAGAGTGTGAATCCCCTCCTCTTAGTGAAGGCTAACGCTGTCCAGTATTGCAAGTGATGTCCTTTCCCCTGCTGTTCCTTCATAGTGACCATGATGATGAAGTTGCAAGCTTGGCTTCTACATCAGGTGGATTTGGTGCCAAAGCGTCTACGCAGAGGCTGCCTGTGAAGGACTGGAAAGCCAAGGCATCCCCTCGGGCTTCCCCAAAGCTAAAGCGGAAGGGCAAGAAAGATGACGGGTACGCTGGGCTTGCCAGAATACAGGTGGCTGTGGGACCAGCTGTGCAGGGCCACAACCTGATGTAGCCATTAGCAGTGAGACTAGGGTCTGAGGCTGAGCAGTGGCCAAGTGCTCCCAACCCTCACCCCATTTTGCAAATGGTAGTAACCTCACAAAAAGTGTCGCTGGTTACACTGACTGCCGCTCAGGGGTGTGGGAGTAGGTTCTGCACTACCTTTCCAGCTGGGACTCAAAATCCAAAATAGAGCCTGGGCTTCAGAAGACTGTGTGGGAGGTAAATTGCACATTGGGGGGGGACACTGGATCCATTTGCCAGTTTCAGTGAAGGCTTCATTGGAACTGTGACACTAGGAGTGTAGCTTAACGTGGCCTCCATTTCTGGTTGGCTTTTGAACGCTGGCACAGTGCCCTTGTTCAACAATAATTATCGTTTGTTACCTGCTTGCTGCTTTTGTGTGTTTCTAAACGTGCCCATATGAATGTCTTGTAAGTGAAAATTGATGACTGGAAAGGTCTGCCCATGGCAAATTAGACCAACCTGTCTGCATTAATGTGAGGAGAGGAGCACAGCTTCTGCACGGGGCTCTCTCCTCTTCTTGTGTTCCCATAGCTCTGTGATTTGGATCTCTGGCTGTGCAGATTACAACAAAGATGGACTATGGCATTAAGTTCCTGGCTGTGGTCCTGTACTGTGACACCCAGAAGCTCTTAGCCTCAGAAATGCCTTTCATTTTTCCTGCCTCAGTCCTTTTAAAGTTGCTGAATGGATGCTGTCTGGGAACAACAAATGTTTACTTTCCTTCTGGTAGCATTTGAATATTCATAGATTTGTGACTCTGATGGAGGCATGCAATATTAGTGGATCAGTTCAGTGTTTTTCTTTATTCTGCTATATGTGCTGGAGTGCATCACTAGTGTCTTCACCTGGAGAGCTGGAATCATTCTGGATGATTTGAAGCTCATTAATTCTATATTTAACAAATGGATACTTGGTTTTTCTTTGTAAAATATCAGGAAAACTTCAAAAGCTGTTTGGCAAAGCCTTCCCTGGCTTTGAATTTGGACAAAACTGAAAAATAGTGTGCATTGTTCTTTGTAACAGTCCTCATTAAGACTTTGTTCAAATCTCCTCCCTGCGAAGGGACCAGTCTGTAAGGAACTTCAGGGCCTGTGGATAGTGCGAATGATGGAGTCACAGTGCTGTAAGGACTGGGATTTCATCACCTTCCCATTGCTCTTCATGTTATACTAGGCAAAACAGAAGTATGATCTGGAGTGTAAAATCTAAAGCAACCGTAAAACGTGTGATCTGTTTTGACAGAAGACTTGGATAATAAGAGTAGTTAATTGGCATAATTGGATTACTACTTTTTCTCTTTATTTCCAGGGATGTGAACCAGTCGCCAAGATCATCTAACAACCAGGTGAGTCAGACCTGCTCTGCAGTCCGTCCCAAGGGCATGATGCTTCAGCTCTATTTACTGTCTTACTAAAGACCTGAGAGAAAGTTCATCGCAGTTCCTTGAAGTACCACGGGCCTCTGCTGTAACCGAGCAGGCTGAGATGGGGCTGTGGTTGGGCTTGGCATTGCTCTGCTCTCTGACTTGCGCAGCAGAAAAGGAGCTGCTCAGTGCTATCCAGACTGATGGCTTCCTTCTCCCTTCTGCATATCAGTTTTCATTTCTGTGTTCTCACAAGCCCTATATCATCTAAGATGCTACCACTCATTTCCTCTTCCCTGCTGAGATGACTCGCATGCGTTGGCAGCAGGATAAGCTGTTCCCAGCAAAGTAAGGGCCACAGTGCGGCCGGCCTGTTAGAATTTCTTATCCCTGTTGATAGTACCTTCATATCTGGCAGAAAATGCTCTCAGTCGAGTTGCGTACACTTCTTAAACTGCCCTTGATGTGTGTGCCTCCTTTAGATATTTTGAGCAGGTAAAGAGACAACGAACTATAGATGTATACTTCTCCAGTTGTTTGGTTATTCATGAATAAGTGAAAGAGCTGAAAAAGTGCTCTAGGAAACCTCCTTCTTATTCTACTGATTGCACAGCTCTTTCATAGGTGTTTAAAGTCGTTATTTACATTTGGAGGCCTGAACACTCTCTCTCAGTACCTGGCCAAAAGTGAATAGGATCTGTTTTCTTTTAGATGCCAGAGCTTTGAAGGGGGTCTTGAATCTAAGCAGTTGATATTATAAGCAACCATTTATGAATCCCATGCAGGAGCTTCATGTACCTTGCTTTATCAGTTTATTTCTTATTTTCTTATTTATTGCCTTAGAAATAGGCATTAAGCTGGCTCTGTTTTCTGCTTTGTGTGTTACGCTTCAGTGCTAGGCACAGGGGTTGACTTAATACCTAGCAGAAAGCTTGACTGACCTCTGATCCTGTTGGAAATGAATGCTTGTCCTCTCCATGCATAGGTGACACCAGAGTTCCAGGATGAGCTGATGTGCATATTGAGGAGCCAACAGCGGGAGCTCTCTGAGCTGCGTCAGAACCAGATGGAGCTGCTGCAGAGACTCACGGATCACCTTGATGCCATTCAGAGCTCCCTTATGGGCCACGTGGAGAGGGTGATTGACTCCCAGCGGGAGCAGGAGCGTATCCTTGTTCGCAAATGTTGCATGGCAGATAAGGAGTGGAAGGCTGCGAGGCAGACTAGAGACATGAGGAAGGCTAAGAAAGTTCAAGGGTCTTGGTAGCGTGGGCCATAGGTGCAGTAAAATTGCCTGGCTGCAATATAACTATTTCAGTTTCTCTCAGTCCCTTTCTAAGGGCAAGAAACTCAGAAATAGAACGGAGAAGAACTGATACTTTCTCCATGCCACTAAATCTTTTAGTTAAGACCGTAAGTGCTGCAATGCTGGAGTAGACTAGAGGTGCACCTCGTACATTATCCTACATCAGGCAGTGGCCAGTTGCACAAGAGTAATTATGCGATTATCCTTTCCTTCCTTTCCTCCTTAAGGCAAGTCAGTACTTGCACCAGAAACAGCATCTGGCTGCCATACTGCATAGCTGAATATAGAATTATCTTGTCTGTACCCATATATACATCTGGTGGTCACATGTCCCTTCTGTGTTTTTTGCAAAGTGCTTTCTTTTGGTGTTTTCAAACCTGGTATCCAATTATTTTTATTGTATTGTGAATAGTCAGTTCCTGTATGTCTTTTGCTGCACTGAATTTGGTCGTGTTCCCCAAACTGAGCAGCTCTAGCCTGTTTCATGTCTGAAACCACTCTTAACTTCTATGACATGACAGTGATTTCTGTTTTCTCAATTAACTAGTCTTGGATTTTCCTTTTTGACCATCAGGCTGCTATTTTCATAGATAATTCAGATAGCTTTCTACTGAAGTTCGGCTTCTAGAGCTGTATTGTAACATTAGAATAATTTTTCCCTATCTGCACAACTTCATATCTGCACTGAATTTTGTCAGCAGCTGAATTGTCTCTTCACTGTTTATTTTGTTGCTGTGTTTTTTCGGTTTTGTTTTTTAAGATGCACATGCATCTCGGTGTTTGTGTGTTGGCTCCTTCAGAGAGCTTGATTGCTTCATGAGGTATGACTAGCTTTTATTGAGCCTGGATTTGCTCCCGTGCACTATATTGCTTATGTCCACCAATTCCATCCTGTAAAAACATTTTTACCAATTTGCTTTTTATGGATATCAGGCTTCTTGGTTTCTGTAGTGGTTTTGGCTGGGATGGAGTTAATTTTCTTCATAGCAGCTCGTATGGTGGTATGTTTTGGATTTGTGACCAAAACAATGTTGATAACACACTGATGTTTTTGCTGTTGCTAAACCCTATCAAGGCCTTCTCTGTTTCTCACACTGCTCCGCCAGCGAGTAGGCTGGGGGTGGGCAAGAAGTAGGGAGGGGACCCAGCTGGGACAGCTGACCCCAACTGACCAAAGGGATGTCCCATACCGTATGACGTTGTGCTCGGCAGTAAAAGCTGGGGGAAAGGAGGAAGAAGAGGGGACATTCAGAGTGATGGTGTTTGTCTTCCCAAGTCATCGTTACGCGTGATGGAGCCCTGCTTTCCTGGAGATGGCTGAGCACCTGCCCACCGATGGGAAGTAGTAAATGAATTCCTTGTTTTGCTTGGCTCGCATGTGCAGCTTTTGCTTTACCTATTGAACTGTCTCTACCTCAATCTGTGAGCTTTCTCACTTTTACCCTTCCTGTTCTCTCCCCCATCCTGCTGCAGAGGAGTGAGTGAGTGGCTGTGTGGGGCTGTGCTGCCCACGGGGGCAGCTGAGTTAACCCACAATATGTAGGGAACACTACTGTCAAGCTTCTTTTAGCTGTTTGGCTTTTCTACCATGCCTTCCAGAGCTCTTCTCTCACCCTGGTCATTTGTTTAAGAGCACCCTGTCGTTTACAGGAACACATCAGCGTGTTATTAGACCCCTCTTTTACCAGAGCTGCAAATTTGCTCTCGCTGAGCCTCTGGAGGTGAGGCTAGTGTCCATCTTTGTGGACAGGAGTGTTGAGGGTAGAGAGTTTGTGCTCCTTAACATGCATTCTCATTAGAGAGAAGACTAGACCGAGCGCTGACGGAAGGACAACAGCGCAATGGGCAGCTCCAGGAGCACCTGTCTCAGCAACTTTCTCAGTCCCTTTCCACTGCTGTGTGTAACCGTCTGGAGAGGACCATTCGTGAGGAGATGAAGAAGACCGTACCCCAGTGTGAGTGTTGCTGCCTAGGTTTTGAAGGTGGATCCCTACAGTTAGCCCCGTAGGGATTGAAAGCATGCTGCCTAAAAGTGTTGGCACTGTATGAAATAGGAGTTAGGTTACATGAAGACTAGTCATTGCGCTTTAAACTGTTGCAGGCCCCACTGTAATCTGAGGAGAGGAGTTGTGGTTTGGAAGGAGTATGAGGCTCCCAGAGGGGATGCCTTTCTAGAGAGCATGGTCTGACCTTCCATTATAATCCATAAAACTTCTGGAGTCTGTTCGGTGGAGGAAGGCAAAAGAGGCTAATGAGTTTGGAAATGTTGACTGAAGCAAACTTAAGCTTGTCTTTGCCCTTCCTTGATGCACTGGCACCATCCATGTAAGGAAATGTTCGAAGAAATGCTGGTAGGAAAGCCTTCTGCAGCCAATAGTGTCCACCATTCTGCTTGAAGCAGGGCTACCCACTATTCTAGATCAGGTCAGCTGTGACTTTGTTGGGGCAAGTCTTGAAAACCTTCAAGGTTGGAGATTCCACAGCCTCTCTGGTGATTTCCAGAGCTGTACTGCCTTCCTGGCAAAAAGTTTCTCCTAATGTCCAACCTTAGCTTCCCAAGCCAGAGCTTGTGACCATTGCCCCTCACTGCATCATATCCAAGCAGAGTTTGACTCCATTTTCTTTTTGGGGTTTTGAAGTGTGACTCTAGGGTTAAAGCTGTACTTCGACATGTTTGTGTTGTGCCTAGGTATTTCCAAGAGCATGGACCCTATTGCTGGCCAGCTAAGTAACACTATTGCTGCCAAGCTCACTGCTGTTGAGGGGACACTGAAAGAGAGTATCACCAAGCTAGTGAAGTCAAAGGTAAGGAGAACCAGACTGTAGCTTTTCCTGGGGACATTGAGTTGTCATCTGCCTGGGTAGTGACTCCTCATACCTCTTCCCCTCACCTGTATCTCTAGGTAAGGTCAGTTTAGCTGCCAGTGGTCAAAGCTCTTTCCTGGTCTCATCCGGAAGAGTGAGCTTGTTGTGAACTCCCCTGCCTGCTTTGCCTCATTAGCCCTTTCTTTCCTTTACCAAGTTGTTCATTTTCTACTCGAATAGAGAATTCTCACTACAGCTGTGTTTTTAGGGCCATCTCAATCAGCCAAATGGTGAAAGCTTGACTGGCTCTTCTGCTCTCCACTCTGTTCTCTGTCTGTATGTTATTTAGGGAGCAGAAGCTTGTTACTTACCTTGGCAGGGAATGGTGGATTGTGGGAGGGAAGCAGGGGAAGGGGACAGGAGCCGTGCCTGACTGTGCCACCTTCCCTTGCTCTACAGCTGAACTACAGGGAAATGGTGATGTTCTCAGGCAGCCCCTCAGCAACCAGATGCTCTGCCTGTCAAGTGATGGTGCAGCCTGGTCAGCAGAAAAAGCCGAGGGAATACGTGCTTCTGACACTGCGCTGTCCTTATCTGATGTGGGCGTGTGGCAGGGACCTACAGTGTTTGTTTAGTCTGCAGCAGGCTGTTGTTAATTTTCTGGAATCTCTTCTGTGTGTGCTTGTAAGAACCTTACAGATACTGTTGTGAGGGCAACGGCCGATACCCTGCAGGGTCCGATCCAGTCAGCTTACAGGGAAGCGTTCCAGAGTGTCGTGTTGCCAGCCTTCGAGAAGAGCTGCCAGTCCATGTTCCAGCAAATCAATGACACCTTCAAGCAGGGCACACAGGAATGTGAGTAGGTTTTCTTCTGAGTTTTCTCTGCACAGCGTATTTGCATTAGTGGCTGCCAAGTTGGTCTTTCCTTATGTCTTTGCCTTTCAGAGTTCCACTGGTGACTGTTTAACCTCTTAGCCCATCTGCATGCTCTATTTCACACTTGGGAGATAGAAGCAGAAGTGAGGAGGTTTTTGTGGGTGGTGCTATAAGAACAGAGATTCACCTCTGGTCTTTGTAGCCCATGCAGCGAAACCCTTGGCTCATTCTGTGAATCTGTGACTTCTTCTATTGAGTAGAAAAGCCCAGCTGTAGGATTACCCCGTTCTGACATCAGGAAGATAATGTATAGAGAGGGTAGCAGTCCTGCAGCTAGGCCCTCATCTCAGAGGGCTAATGGAGTTGGAGAAGGTTTAGAGAAGGGTACAGGGATGATCAGAGGTTAAATAGTGGCTGAACAATGTAGATAGACATGGTCAGGCTGGAAAAGAGAGAACTGTACTCTTAAGTAAGGAAAATTGTACACTGATGCACTGGAGGAGATCTTTCCTCTTCTCAGGCTTGGGATCCAGTTCCTTGGCCTCCTGGCAGGCCAGGCAGGTATTGCTGTGCAGAGCTGGTTTCTGAGGGAGCCTGAAGTTGGCTAGTGCTGGCACAGCGACTTCTGTTGTCCGTACATCTGCAGTTTCCAGCTGCTGTTTATTTTGCACCTTTCCTTTTCCTCACAAGTCTCCCACAAGTAAATAGAGCTTATATTCTTCTCCCTTTTGATTAGACCAGTTCATAAAATATTTTATAAAATACAGCTTTTTGATCTCTGTAGACATGAATTTTTTTTTTTTTTTTTTGTCAGAAATATTCCTCCTCTTTCTTCACTGGCATTGAACTCCATCACTAAATGCAGATCACAACTCACACTGTGTATGAAATAAAATACCCTGGCTCTCACCTTTATCTTGCCCTGAACAAACAGTGCCTGTAAAGGTCTGGCACAAGAGAACTCGTGGCTTTGTTGCTGTGTCATGTAATTCTGCATGATGGGGAGGCTGGAAGCAGGGTTTCTAGGTTAGTGTAACGCAGCCCAAAACAAGGCTTGTGCGTTCTCCCCTCTCTCCTGTGCTCGTACACTGGCTCAGTAATTGTTTCTGCTGGAGGACACGTAGAGCCTGGCAGCTGGATTTCTGCCTTGACCATCTCCACAGGTACCGATGGCACAAACGTCTTCCTCTCTCGTTGCAGATATCCAGCAGCTTGAGACTCACTTGAAGAACAAGAAGGTACGAGAACAGGAGGCCCGGGACCCGCTGCTGAATCAGCTTCGACAGCTCATCAGCACCTTCCAGAGCACCACCGAGCAGCTGGCTTCCACTGTTGCAGCCAGCGTCCATGCTGAGGTGCAGCATCAGCTGCATATTATCGTGGGCAAGTAAGTTGGCAGCTGGGCTTGTGGAGAGAGATGTCAGTGAGAGGTATACATGTGCATAACAAAAACCTCTCCCTGCTAGTTGTGGAACAAACTATTTGCCACCATAGGGCTGCTTGTTGGCTGTGTGCACAGTATGACAAAGCATGTGGGCTGGTGTAACTGTTGCCCTGTAAGGCACAAAAGGAAGACCATGGAAGGTTTCTAACAACCAGATGTATCGCTGCTGCGTGTGGGAGCTCAGGGCCTGCTTTTCACAGCATCCCATGTGCATGTTGGAGGACTGAAGGACCTAAGGCAGCCCAAAAGCACACTCAATTCTGACTAGCCTTCCTGTTCTGAAATGTTCTTCTGATCTTTTGAAGGCTTTTCTTCTTTACCCTGTGTCCTCAGGCGGACCAACAGTTTCTGCAGGCTACTCTGTCCTCCCAGCTCCTCTGCAGCAATTTGTGCCTGGCCATCCTGGTTTCAAGATGTGATCCTGGCAGTGCCTTCAGCATAGTCACACCATGAAGCTGGTGGCAGGCTGCCAGGCATTAAGACTGGCCGATGGTCACCTGTGGGGCAGAATGCCCCTGGCTACTTTAAGCAACTAGAACATATGTCAGAGATCATTGGGGTCTTCGATGCAGACCAGACTTGCCAGAAGGCTACCAGACTAAATTCTGGTCTCGTTGCACAGGCTGTGCTTGCTCCCAGGGAAGTCCTGCTACTCTACCTGTGCTAGAGCAGGTTTGATGCTTTGTACCCTTTGTAAGAGGGGAGGATCCAGCCCTTGGGGGGGAAAAGGTGTAACACACAGCAGTGGGGCCTGCACTGTGAACTGGTCTTGTGTGGAGAAGTCAGAGGCTCAGTGGAAGTGCGTTCTCGTTCTAAAGGTGTCATCTGCAGGCTAGGAAACTGCATCTAACAGATCTGATACGGAAAGCTGGGCCCATTCAGGGATGAACCTAGAGCTTAGTAGCCTTGCTTGTAAGCCAGAGACATTAAAGATTTAAAATGCTGTACAATAAGAGACTTAGTTCCCTGAAACATCACTTTCTCGCACAGAATCCCATCATCTTCCGCATGCACCCTGGGACGTGGTGGTGTTGGCCACAGAGCTACCTTGCGCAGCATGTTTCCGATGCCTGTGCCTCAGAGCAATTTGTATTAACCCTTTGGTAGCCACACTACAATAAGCAAGCAAGCCTGTGGATTCCCGCTGGTACAAGCTTTGTGCAATGTTGTCCCTCAGCTCTTCATTTTCAGAGATGCTTGTTTGTTGGGTTTTTTTTTTTTAGCATGCAGGAGTCTATTTTGGCCCAGGTGCAGAGAGTCATTAAAGGAGAAGTGAGCCTAGCTATGAAGGAGCAGCAAGCAGCTGTCACCTCCAGCATCGTCCAGGCAATGCGCTCGTTTTTTTTGGATTTCCAGTCTCAGCAAACTCACATCCTTCAGATGCTCCAGCAGGGACACCTCAACCAAGCTTTCCAGCAGGTAGATGGGCTTCCTGGTAGTGGGCATCGCTGCTTGTTTGGGGGATGGAGCGGGGGAAAAAGGGCTCCTTGAGCTGGGGACGTAATCCCACGACTCGTACAGGAGTTGCCTGAAAAGACCTGTGGCAGCAGACTGCTCAAGGGGCGCAGCTGAACTCTTATGTGGGTTGAGCCAGAGGCGTGCAAGTTCCATGATTTGGTGGCAGTTAAGTTCCTTCTTCCCTGCCCATGTCCTGTCAGGACAGTGTCGGCGCTCTGGTTTTTTTTGCCATCAGTGTTGGCATGTGGTGCACCCCCAAAGAGAGCAGCTTCATAAGCCTCTCCAGGCAGATCTACCAGCTGGGGCCTGACCTTGCCTTTGTCTTTGAATGTGTAGGCAGATCCATTTGAGCTCCTGCAGACAAACTCCTCTGGGAATAATAGCAGTGCTGTGCCAGTGGGCTGGCAGGGCATGCAAACGTGGCCCTGCTCCGTGCTGGTAACTGTAACCTGCTCCCCTCTGGTTGGGGTCTGTTCAGCTTGGAACAAACACAGGTGTCCTCTGAGCACAGACTGAGCCTAAGCGCGGTCCTGCTTGCAGGGTTTGCAGAGGATTCTACTTCCAGAGGAGGCTGGTGAGCCATTGAGCTGGCCCAAGGCAGAGGGCTGCCTCGTGCTCTGTCCTGTGTCCCTCACCTGCCTGTTGTTTCCTCTGCATTTCTAGCTGTGTCTTCCTTGCAGGCTCTAACAGCAGCTGATCTCAACCTGGTCCTGTATGTCTGTGAGACTGTGGATACTCAGCAAGTATTCGGGCAGCATCCATGCCCGCTGTCCCAGCCTGTGCTGCTCTCTCTCATTCAGCAGCTCTCCTCGGATTTGGGTACTCGTACGGAACTGAAGTTGAAGTGAGTATGATCAGAGCACCGGGTCTGAACCTATGCAGACCTGTTCCTGGCTCTGGCTTTAAATTCACTGCCTGGAAGCGAAATGTGGTGCTTCGAACGAAGGTTGGAGCTTCTGTAGCCTGTTACCGGCATGCAAATAACGAGTAATGACTTGGAAAGAGTTGTAGGCATTGCCATGGAAAACTTTGCTGCCCAGAGGTAGTAGTAGAAGGGGTACCCAGCTGTAGGTGCTGTTACCTCCTGGATTATAGTCTGTAAATATTATATGCCGTCTGCGCGGTGATCTCCTTTAACCAAGGAACAATTTCCCTGTGGAGGTAAAAGGAGGGATAGTGCCATGTTTCCTCGATAGCTTAATATCCAGAGCAACTTTGCTCTGTCTTCAATTCTTAACCCGTCGCTGGACTTTGTATCAGCAGTTTCTTGTCGTGACTGCCAGACAGGCTCAGTGGGAGGTGGCAGCAGGACTTACTGGAACTGATGTCTGTTAGATGTTCTAAGCAAAGCTCGTGTGACAAAATAGTGACTGTGCTGATACTTGCCACAAACATTTTTAGTGAGTGAGTCAAAACCCTGTTATCTGTCCTAAAAAACTAACTTGTTAAGGTACCTGCAGGTTTTAACCATGGCTTGTATGGAAAAATGACTTAAATCAAGTTTTTAACTCAAGTTAACAATCGGGATGAAGCAAGCTAGAAAAACTGAAAAAGAAATTGAAGTTACAGATGAGCTGGTGATCAGAGTTAAAGTTGCTGCTGTTGAGTTCAGGCTGGTCTGTTAATGAAAGCCTTTTGCAGTGACCGCATTGCCTTACTCTCAGGCTGCAGTTTGAAAGTTTATGGCTCGTCTGAACTTCAGAATGGCTTGTTGGTAAAATTCTTGCTCTTCCCCCACCCCTTCCTGGATAGGCATATTGGAAGAAGACCTTAAATATATCCCTACATGAAATAAGCCTCACTGCTGAGGATTTTTACTGTCTAATAAGTGACTAATTCTGCTTATGCTAAAAAGGCATGAAAGAAAATATCTACAGAGCTGTGACCAGGCATGGCCTGTGGCCAAATGCCACCTCCAGCTCTGCTGGGAGTTCTAGCTTGCTCTTGTGCCTGGTTGGTTCAGGCAGCCAGGTTGTGTTGCACGTACTGCAGGCTGGAAAATACATAGGCTGCCCTTACATGTTAAGAAGGGATAGGTGGACTCTGCTGTGAGTCAGTAACATTTATTTTCTGATGGCTGAACGTACTGCACTGAGTTTTGGGTGGGTGGGGGAGCAGAATTGTGCATCTTCAGTGCTAAAATCAACGGAATCGGATTGGGATGGCACGTTGGTTTGGTTCTAACCCTGGTCTTTCTCCTTCAGTTACTTGGAGGAAGCAGTGATGCACCTGGACCGCGGTGACCCCATCACCCGAGACCACATGGGGTCAGTCATGAACCAGGTGCGGCAGAAGCTCTTCCAGTTCCTCCAGGTGGAACCCCACAACACGCTGAGCAAGCCTGCCCGTCGCCTCATGATCATGCTCCAGGGCCTGGTCACCCCCGGCATGACCTAGGAGGACCTACCTATCTTGTGGGCTGCTCCGTGGAAGCCCACCCAGCAGAACCAGTAGTTACTAACCACGTATGGCTTGTGTTAAGAGCTCTTGCCAGGAAATCTATCAACATGTGTGTGATGTCTCTAAGGCAAACGCCATCTGTGTATAGTCCCAAATAGTCACTGAACGCTCACTTGGCTTATTTTCCTAAATAGCCTCTTTTTGAGAGAATTAAATCTCTTCTTCACCTGCCCATCCGTCCCTGAGGCCTGGCTGGCAGTCCAAGGCGCATTCAGCAGAAGCCGGTGGATTTCCTACCCCTTTAGTTTGGAGTCTGCTGCCGTGAGCGGAGAAGGGAGGTCCACCCTGAGCCCCGAGCAAGGGGGCTGCTGGGGACACGTGCTCCTCGTTCACCAGAAACTAGTAC